TCTGTGATTTATTTGATAACGCCATGAGATCCACCCAAATGTGTTGTATTTTGTAGCTTTTATCTTCTAAAAAGTCATGGCATCCGATATGATTCACGTACTTAATTTTTTATACACATATACAACTTTTCTCTAAGTCAAATACTTGTTTCTAAAAATAATCAATAGATGTAAAATTGTATTGAAAATTCTTTATATGATTGTTTGAATATATCATGAGAATAAATAAAGATCGATTATTCAGACGAATGAATATAATAATTACTTTTATGTAAACAAGGAATAATTATTATGTAGATGAAGCATTGAATTAATGAAAATTCATTTGGCTATTAATCGTAGGTAAATCAGAATAATATTACAAATACTATTAACAAGGATTTAATAATACTTCATTAAAATACATTAATTTAATAGCATTTGTAATGTTTATTTACAAATCGCTAAATTCGTGTACTTGTCAATTAGAATTAGCAATAAAAAATGTGTGACCTCATTTGGAAAACTGGAAACGCCTTAGTATCGTGGAAAATATAAAAGTTAAAAATGTAAAAGTTTATTCACGCAACCAGCTGCCTTGAATATAATACATATTACATAAAACATTCTTGTTTATTAAACCAATGTGTAATTTTCTATAATAAATAGTATTTTTTATCGACTTAGCCTGCGTATCATGCTCAGAAAGCATTTACGTTGTTCAGAATAGTTCCGTTCAATTTTTGAGTCACTCGTTAATTATACTCTTATATAGCGCGTCATCGTATCACAGACGGCGCGATGTACAAGTAAAATCGTACATGAATCTCTGGCGAGGTTCTCGACGAAATCGTTAATACGTCGCTTTTAATAAAACCGGCGTGTCATTAACCTTCGCAATCCACTTAGCGGAGTAAATACGACGAATGCGTGGTTGCGAGTGGCCTGTTTTCGGAACTCCGTATGTTCTTTTTCGATTTTCTCCTTGCGCTTAATAATATTGGTATACGGATCTACAAATTGCCTAGTAAGAATATCAACGACAAAATCTTTACTTGGATGCTAATATAACAAAAACTCTGATAAAACCAGACAGCCCAACTTTCTCTATACGTCGCATTTTAAGAGAATTTTTCGTATTGTTAGGATTAATTATAATTTATTATTTTTAGTATTTTCAGTATTTTCGGTATTTTCGGTATTTTCGGTATAATCAGTATTTTCAGTATTTTCGGTACTTTTAGTCAACACGCGGGCAGCCTGAGACTGTTCGGGGACTGAATTTTTTCGGCCCGTTTCGAATCTGAAATATCAAATACCCGCTCATCCCTATAATTTAGTATAACGTAATATTCTCATATTTCGTTTATAATATTTATAGTATTGAGTAATTAATCAAATTTAAAACTTATTTTTCGTACGTAAACTAACTATTTAACGACCTTGTATAAGAAAATAATTTTTCTGAGTACGGAACACGTTTTGATGGAGCTCCTTTTGTACACTCATTTAACAGAACCAAAATTGTCGATCAGATCTGTTACAAAATGAAATAAACGGAAACTATAAAGTTAAGACTGTTTATAGACTTGAAGAATCTGATACTAAGAATAACGTATTAGCTTATTAATAGAATAAATGAATCCAAAATAAAGTGTTCAAAAAGTTTTTGTATCCAAAACCAATTTTGTTGAAAACCCATCGAGTTCAATTTTAAAAAAATTTATTTTTGAAAAACATTAATTTGTATCTTGAGGAATTTTGGTATACGAGCGAAATACATTTGAAAATATTTGAAAAGCATTGAAATTTTAGCTATATGTAGAACGATATATGGTCCTTATAAATTTGTTTTGTTATCATTGTCTGTATACTCGATATTAATATAATTATTAAAAGTATGTTAAATATAAATTGCGTTACTTATTTCAGATGGATCGCGACATATAGATATGTATATACTTATGCAGATACCAAAACTTGAGAAGAATGCAGCCAAGATCGTTATTGTACTCTTACTTGGCAAACATACATTGCTGTGAACAGTTATTGCTTCACATAAAAATTGAGTAATCGTTATGCAGGATGCACTGTAATGTTTGCAACAATGGAAAGATATTCTATAAATATACCTCTGTCGGTTTCGTTTTCGATTTATAGCTGTTTTTACATTGCAGTAGTATGCATCTATTCTTCATTTGAAATACTCCAAATAACTACTTTTCTCCTAAATGTAGATCTGCAGTTTGGGGAAAGGGGTTCATCAAACATTTACCTACTCATTACAAATAATTTCATCGAATTAATAACAGTAGCTTACAGTCAATGTGTTATTACACAGTTTCATTTGACGATGTATTGTTGCACTAATGAATCAATCTGTGCAACATATTCTGTAATCGGATTTCTTGGTTGGACCTAATGGAATAAATAGGAGAAAGTGATAATTATGGAAATAGCATTTGCTGTGAGAAATCTGTGGCTCACAAGCCGAAGTAAGGCCTTGCATTAGTCGATTAGATTTAAACCGTAATTTGATTGCGTTGGTGTGGAATACATTTGTATGTATAGGGTAAACCAAAAAAGGTGGATTAACAAGAAGACTAACGTATACACGAAATATTTACTAGTAATAATCAAGGTAGAATAATTTGTCAGTAATTGTAACATGATGTTTTTAATTCTATCGAATATCTATAATTTAAATTAAGCTGGCAATTATGTAAGTAATTATGAGGGAAACTTTGTTTATAAAGATTGCATTGTTACAAGTATTTAACTTTAACATACACATTTCACTCCTTAGATATTGCTAATATAATAAGACACGGTTAAATCATTATAAAGAAACGTCAGCACGAAACCGACGACAATGTAAATAAGTATAAAAAATAAATAGTTAATTATTGTCTTTCGAGTTACATAATGTTATTTATTTTTAAACATTAGACATGCCTTACAACAAAGTTTCACAATATGTTATATACTCGTCGCGTTATTTTTCACTGCCAGTGTAAAATATATAAATAATAACTTGTCAATTAGAGTAAAGGAATCTTTCTGTACTACGAAGCAATTGATGAATAACGTGACAGTATACCAATACATATAGCACAGTATTGTTTGAATGAAAAAATAGCTGGCAGCGATTACAAGATTCTAAACAATTCCTGACCTATATCCTCCAAATGGTCTCAGAGATTGTTTGCTACTATAAATTTCTAGCATGAATAGGGAACGGTGGTGGAGGAATACTATCGTGGCAGCAATTCGATGATAACGTCATCCTGGTTCAATAGTTTATAGGCTGCTTGTTAGATTATAACGCAAGCCTAATACCCATTTTAGTCGATAGGAACCTCAGCTCTACAGCGTCTTGACGATATTTCGCGTCTCAGAGACACTATGTTTCTCGGCCTATATAAGTACATACTTCTTTAGAGGTTATGTTATTATATTTTAATGATCGTGTCTGATGTATTTACAGCGAACAAGCCTCCGAAAAAACTGAACAGTTCCCATCCCTTTTTGCGCGAGTACTGCTGCTGATTGTAATAATAATTATATTGAGATAATAAGTAAATTATTAATGATAAATTAATGAGTAAAAATGTAAGAAAACGTTTGTCAAGGGGTAGTCTGAAACTGTACATACTTTTCAAGAATTTAACCAAAGATGTACATTTAATACGTTACAGATCTGACATTTTCTTACTGATTATGTTCAGTGCCTATCTAGTTTCCGTATTAAATATTCTTAATTATTAGTTCTTTTAAGTCATTATCATCTGAAACACTTGACGTGAAGGAATATTTTTAAATTACACTTATTTTTAAAGCTCATACCTATTAATCAGAAATTTGTATGTATTAAAACTATACACGAAACGCGGGATATCTTGTTATCTATCTGTTGTGTGTTTGTAATTTGTAAAATTATGATCCCTATACACTGTATTTTATTTTAATATATATAAAGAATTATATTTTAATCAATTCTCGTACATTTCAGTTATCAAGTTTGTGGAGTATTCAGGATTGAATGAAGTAAGAAACAGTAGAATAACTGATACGCGAGAGCAACAGATTTAGAAATACGTCCGATAATGGATTTCGGTCCTGTTTCACGCTTGTCTAACAACGAGTGAAGAACACCGTCCTAAAATTGGCCATTCTTTACCATTGTCCTCTAAATCGATGTAGCATGCTCGTGAAGCCTCTTACGTTCGTTTATCTTCTTCTATACAATGCCTTTTGTTTGTATAAGCATACAAACGCACACACAGAAGATTCTGTCTACGGAAACAGAAGGAGTAGAGTAACGAAGAAAACGTGGGTAACTGACGGAAATGGAGTAGGAAGAGTTTCGTAAGTTTCAAAGTTTATGTTACGCAACACTGGCTTAAACTATTCTCTTGAACAGCAAACGGTACAGGTCAATGGACATCATCTGTCAATTAATTGTACATTGACTATGAGATGCAACAATATATAATCCATCACTAATAGCTTTTCAATTTACCTGAAATTATATTTAATTCTCAACTTAATATATTATTAACTGAATTTAACTACATAGAAAGCTAATTATAATAAACATATACACAATTCTAACAATGGAAGTTTCTCTTTTTCACTTTTCATCTTATTTCCTTGAAGAAATTAATTAATCGATGAGGTATTTGGAATTTGATCTAAATTCATAGCGATGAAAGCTATGATATATTATTTATAAGAATAGATAATAATTTTATTTGAAATATTTCACTTAAAAAACAGAAAGAGGATGGAGATAACAGGAATTTTCAGCAAGTACGTACACTTCTTTAAAATAGAAATTTATTTCCAATCCCTTTGCTAATGAGTCAATCTCTACTAAACAGACCTTACCTATAACAGGGTGAGGCACTGAAAGGGGGCCACCTCAACAACTGGTCTGCCGTCGATTGTAAAAAAAGTACATTAGATCAAATTCTCTTGGTATTAAGAGGAGCAGAATTGGATCTTAATAGCTTATTCCGTAATTAGAGGTGTAAAGAAGAACTAGAATTAACCTTCCTTTTTAAAATTAAAACATTTCAAGCATTCTTAACATCGAACTAATTAAATAAAATGATATACATGTAACGTGACGTTTTATAATAGTAATTATTAAAAAAATTACCAAGTAAATTGACTAATTATATCTCAGAATTATAATTTCGATTAAAATAATTCTATGTCTTCTCCAGGTGCGGAATCGAATATACACGAAGGAATGATGTAAATCAGTATGATTTGATGAGTTATAATCAAATATTTCCAAAAAGTCTGGTGAATTTGTTCTTTCAGTTTTCATACAGTATTGAATCAAATCTGATACGTATTTGCAACAAAGGAAAATCTATGCCTTGGTCGATGGCTCTTAATTGCACATGAGCGTGGCAACTGCCAAAAACCGTAAACCGTCTCGTTTATTTTTGTCAACGAAACTGTCACTAAAACAGCAGGCAGCGCAAATATGTGATTGTACGAAAGCAAATGTTGCAAATGTAACGACATACTTTGTGGCGCAATGATAAATATAAACATGCAAATTACTAGGAACACCTGTATATCCTTACAACATATCAGAATTTGTATTTACAGAGAAATAGTAATAATAGCAAAAAAGTTACCGTTCTGATATCAACGATAACAATAGTGCAGATATTTTTTACGTGATTTCATTCCAAGAATCAGTTTCAAGATTAGACGTTAATATGAAATTTGTTCTGTGGAGGACATGGTGTCTATTTAAAATGTTCAAGTGTAATCTAATGTCAATTATGCAAATCAGTAAAGCAGTTTTCTGTAATTAACTTTCAGTAAACAGTACATTATTCTGTTTAAGTGAACATTAGTTTTTTTAATTTTCACATACAACTTCCTTCATCTGTATAAAAACGCTCTTCCTATTTTTGATAAGCACTTATTGTAGTCAATCATCATTTTAAAGTGATTAGTTTCTAAATGTGGCTGCCTTAATATTAGTCAGTCGTCAACATAATAGATATTATTTTATGTTGTCACACTTCATATTTTTAACATTCTGTTATTGTTCATGAAATTTTCATTCTGTTATTAAAACATGTAAACATGCAATAAAAATTGCGGTTTCTCACGCAGTCGATGAAAGAAGATCAGCCGGAAAATTCGTAATTTCTATTTTCGATAGGGAGTGTAATTACCAGAGCTCTTCCGTTGCGACACACGGATATTTCCGTGATACAGACGCTTCGCGTAAACGCTGATGCAGCTATGAAATAGAACAGGAGAGGGTGTCCATCATGACGGGCCAGTTGGAACGTAGACATCGTTGCCAATAAACTCTCAGACAAAATAAATTGAATGATTCACTGTATTTACCACTAGCCGACAAGATGATTCGCTTATTCGACTGATCACACACAATTTTAGACAAGCAAGTCATTATTGGCTGTGAGATAATATTCTCCAGATGTTCCTATAAGAAAGCGTACTTGAGATCTTCTTTTATACCTTGCATAATAGATTTCTTTGAACCTCACAAGAAATTACTGATACTATTTATAATACTGAAAATCGAGGAAGATTTCTACAGCTTTATAATAAAAATTGTACAATACAATCTTTAACACATTATAACTTTCTTTAATGTAATTGTACTTAATAGCGTTGCACTACTACGTGTATCTATAGGGTGTTTCAAAAAATCATGTCACGACCACTACAGAAGGATTCTACGGCTTTCATTTCATGGAACAGACCGTAAGCAAATGTTCACAAAATTCATTCTGGTCTTCAAAAAATAGATTAAAATTCGTTGTTACTACATCGCGTTCGACTCACTACGGTGGTAAGTAGTCTAAAAGGAATCGTAGGTTAGAAATGAATAGTTTGCTTGCACATTGCTGTTGAAGTTTCCATGGCGCGTAAAGGACCAATTCCTACCCATGGTTTCTTTCAAACTACCTACTTCCGCAATGAGCAAAACATGATGTAACTCTAAAAAATTATAACCCGTTTCTTATGATTAGGATGAATTTTGCGCGCATTTTCTTACATGCTTTTCCATTAAATCTAATTGTTTCTACAGTCTTGCAAACACTTGGATTTAATTGATGAAAGTTTTAAACACAGAATAATTTTATTTGAATATTATACAAACGGAAAGGAAGAATACAATATCTGAAGAAACCATTGAGTATAAATCATAGGAGGCTATTGATATCATGTCGCAAGGTAACAAGATCCGAAAGGGACCAAATTGCAGGAACGAGAGACTGTCGAAAGAATAGCTCCGACTACGCAAGATGTTATTGTAGAAGCTCGGTTTACTCGTATGAAAAAAATTTCAAAGAACAAATTCAGGACTTCTTCGAGAAAGAAGCGCACAAGATGTAATAAACAAGAATAACATAAATGTTCGATAAACGATTATAATATTTTCAATATATTTCACTTTTCATCTATTTATAATATAAATTCTAAATATTGATGCAATTTTAAGTTTATTAAAATAAACTTGTTACAATTATTGAAATAAACTTTCACCACTGTGCAACTGTGACCTTGCAGAAATTTGTTATTTGTCGAAAAGTTTATCATATCCATATTATAGAGTTTTAACTCTTACACATTACACATTACAAACTAATACTTTAAAAGGTATTCACATTAGATGGAGATTTTATATTTTTCAGAAGACACCTAACTTTGTTGCTCATTCGATATATGTATGTATAAGCCCAACAATTTGAACGGCAGAGTTGTACACAGTATAGAAATGGGTGTGGGGTTGAAACTTTCAAAATTACGAAAGGAAAAGGTATAAGAATCAGAGCTTATATTAATGAAAAAATGCACTGTGAACCCCACTATATAACATTACATAGTGTGTCGTATTCTCATTCGTTAGATCCGTTTCGCTGGTTTAATCCTGTAATAAAAGCACAAACCAAGTGTATCGAAAGCCAACAACTATTTCATACTGCGGCTTCGAAATTCCTCCAAGAGTTCTAAGCGAAACGAGGGAAAAAGGTCGCGCGACCAGCCAAGAATGTGATACAATTCGCTGGAAGCAGGAAGCAACCGCGGCTCGCGTCTTTAACTCCTACAGGATTGAGTTCTCGGGTCGTTCGACGATTTATGTACGACCTTTAACTTTATTAAGCGACATATCTCATTCGCCTTGCGACACTCGGATATTCACGCTGCCAATACCCCAGCCTGACGTTTTCTTACTGGAACGAGTAATACTTTACCAGTGAAACCCCCTTTCTCATTAAAGGAACCTTTTTATTTTTGAAAAATGAATGGAAATTACTGGAACAGACCATCTTATGTTTCTTATTATACAGGCTATTGCACGTAACGCAACTATTATAACTCATAGTGTTGACGTGCCAACTATTGCAAGTCATAGCTGCCATGTTTTTTTCTCATAGCAATTACCAGAAAATAAAGAAGAGAGATGAATGATGCAAGAGGTAAATTGAAGTAGCAGTTCTATAAAAAGATTTTATAAATAATTACTTGGTATATTAAAGTGTTTACCTTTCTTTGTTAATTATTATTATAATAAAGCGAGGAAATGTTTAACAATAAGAAAACTGTAATCATGATTACTGTATTTTGTTTATGTTAGTTAAGTGCAACTTTTATCGATTTTTGAATTTTTCCAAACAATCGTTTACTTTTAATTACGGAAAATGTAAGTAGGTACTTTAAGGAATGATTTTTAATATATTTTATTTTTATTAAACTTCCGTTTGCTATAACCTTTGTAAATAATTGTTGAATGTTTACTTTACGAATAAATGTTTATTGAATGTATAACGAATGTGTATTTTACAGAAAATGCATATTTGTATACAAAGTAAAGTATGAAAGTTCATTGTGTAATAAAAAAGTTCTTGGTTCCTGATGTAGCAATAAGTTCATGTAATTGAAGAGTCATGTCAATGCAACATACACAGTGATGAAAAACATTGAACACACTTTGCAAAATCTTTTAAACACTTTAATATATTTCAAAAGCATAACATTGTAACATGGATATTTAAACGACACATGAAAATAACTTGTATGTAAAGTTTGTTAAGTCACTTGACAGTTTCGTATGTTTCTTCCACAGTTGATTATTACAGATATAGTATTTGGTTTTACACTCTATTGGAACTTAATTTTCTGTCCGGTGACCTTGTATTTTTTGAGGCATATTTATGCTAATCTTTTGCAGCAATCCGGACTGATTTTATCCCACTCTTGCTGGTCAAAGAGAGGTAGCTTACGGTGATAACTTCTATAATATATATCACGACATCGATTTCAACTCAATGTTGTGTGTGAGTCAACGTGAATATTGTAGAAGATTTTATTCACTTTTGATCATCATTGTGCATAATGATTTTGCACATTTGTAGATAATTGTCTAACGATTTTATTTCACTGTTTTGAGAGTTGCCCACTTTTCCAACTTTTAATAAAAAATAATTATATTTTATCTTGATTGAAATCCGACATTACTTTTCAACTAACCAATATTCATGTTGGCGTTGCTTGCTTTCACACATGCAGCGCCTTAGTTAAGTGGATAATCCTGTACGCGCAAGTTGCACGTTATGATTAATTCATAACAGAAGAAACTAGTTTACGGTGAACCCCTACGGAAAGATTAGGACACTCAAACATTGGAAAGTATATGCAATTATGATAGAATATCTGATAACATTTTAAAAACGAATTAAATTCACACTTTTTTATTATATATAGTATGTATATTATCATATATAGTATTTATAAGGTGTGTTCTATGTATATATTTAAAATGTTTCCTTGAAACAATTTTCTTAAAATATTGTAAACATTCTTTAATAATTTACAGTTATTCCGTTTAATAAACATTCTAAATATTTTCTTTTATTAACCTCCTGTCCTATAATTACTTTCACAACTGTGCTTTATAAAAGTACTTCATCGTTAATAATTTAGTAGAAAAAGGAAAGTTGATGCTTATTCTGTATCTACGTTTATTCTAAAGGTTAAAGATTTGTAATAGGCAAGCAATATTTCATTTATATGAAAAATAAAGAAATAAATAACGTTTGGATTTGTTGAATTCGGTTAAAAATTTTCGTCACGAGTCTGTCTCGGTATTATAGAAGAAGGGGTTGAATGCATCGATAACTGATTTGATATAAATGAATTCCTCTCCACTTATTAAACTAAATAAAATTATTGGCTTCCAGAAATCACTAGATTGTGGTTGATTTTTCGATATATTTTTCTTCTTTTTAGTCTACCAAAGCGTCACGCGCATAGTTGTGAAAGCATAGGTAAGTTTAATTTTATCATTCTTAATTCTTGGAGCACGGACATTTTTGACAGTTTTATACACAGTAATGCCTGGTATCATTCAATTTGTTACGTATCGATTTTTCTAAATATATGTTTTATCATATTTCTAAGAAATACGTTGAACTTTTTATTAAGTATTAAATATAAAATAATCAAACGCTCCTTACTTTTTAGAGTGTAAGGATAATTAAAACGGCACGTTGACTTTGAGTGGATTGTATGTGACTTATTTTGTAACTATGTTAGAAAACGTGTTAAATGACGAGTTACAAACTGAGAGTTCGTGAGAATGATGTGATGTTTACAGATTTCTGAAATGTATATTTGCGTGATGTAGAATCTAAGACTACGTTGTCAACCGCGCATACTTTTCATGCGTGCGAGTAACCGTATTCCTGGCAAGTAGAGGTCCTCAGGTACTATACGATTCTCACGTTAGCTTCTCGGCCAGAGGTTTAAAAGTGCACAGGGGCAAGGGGACTCTGCTCTTCTACTCACAACGCCCGGCTTTCAACGCATGGTCATTATTGGTGCGGACCAAAGTCCGAGTGTCGTGAATGGAAGAGTCCCCTTTCCCATGTATACTTTTAAACCTACAGTGGGTAAAAAAAGTATTCATACACTTAGCTTTTTGGCAATAACTTTCTACAAACAGATTATATACTGACAAACCCTGCTTTCATTACTAGTCTACTATCTACAGATATAATGTGGAAACTAACAACTTTTTATAAGGCATAAGACAAAATTTAGACAAGAAATATGAGAGTTTGAAAATTAAAAAAGTATTCATACACTTATAGTTATGATAGAAAATTTATAATTTTTCAAATCCCACTTACATTAATATTTCGTATCCATCCCTTTTGCATCAATAATGGATTGTAGTCTTCTTGGTATGGATTCGACCAGTTTTTTAGTTAATTCTTGTGACATTTTTCCCATTCTTCCAGAAACACTCGTTGTAAATCGTTTCTGTATGTTATTTTTCTTTTTTTTATTTCTAAATCCAATATGAACGATAAATTTTCTATTGGGTTAATGTCAGAGGATTGTGGTGATGTAATTAACTCTTTGAGAACATTATACAACAGCCATTCTCTACCTTTTTTTAGCAGTGTGCTTCGGGCCGTTATCTTGTTGAAAGTAGTAGGTGCCATTCAATCTTAACTTAGGTACATTTTCTGGTAAATTATGACATAACACCTTGATTTAATTCATCGGGTTCATTGTCTCATTGATAAACACAAGATTTCCAACACAATTGTACGTCATGCAACCCCATGCCGTCCTATTACCGCCACCGTCCTTCGGAGTTACTCTAAGATTTTCAGTTTGCAGTTCGGTATTTGGTTTTTTCCAAATAAATTTCTTCCCATCCAAATTTTTAATATTAAATTTACTCTCATCAGAAAAAGTAACACGTTTCCAAAATTCAATTGTTTTACTTATGAACGGCTTTTTCCTCGCATTTTTATCGTATATCTCTGCTGAATGCAAAATGTTTCTAATAATTTGTGGACACACGATCTTCCCAGATGTTGACGCGATATCACCGGACAATGTTCGAACACTAACAAATAAGTGTTTCGTAGCTTCTTTAATAACGTTTCGACGCTCTCTAATTGATAATATCTTTGTCGACCTGACCGCAGCTGATTTTCTGTGGATTTTGTCTCTTCGGATTTTCTAATAATGTATTGAATTGCCGTAAAAAGTAAATTTAACGTTTTCCCAATTTTTCTATAACTTTCCCCGCGTTCTTGAAGGAAAATAACGCGATCGCGCATGGATACGGATATTTCACGTTCCTTCTTTGTTATGATTTCTATGTGAAATTCAACGCCAGACTGGTCCTAGATGTGTATTTTTCTAAGAATTTAGCAGTAGAATAATGTGTACAAATACTCTTTTGACTTTCAAACTTTTGGATTTCTTAAATAACTTTTTTCCTTACTCATTAAAAAATTGTATAATTTGCACATCACCTTTGTAAAAAATAGTCTATTAATGGAAGTAATTTTTATCGATGTATCATTCGTTTGCATAAAGTTATCATAAAAAAACTAGGTGTACGAATACTTTTTTACCCATAGTATGACCGATGGAGCTGACGTGAGAGACGTATAATACAGGGATTCGTGCGCCGTGCTGGTCGAAAAGTTCTCGACTTGTGTTTGCTGTGATCACAGAAGAAAAGTCGCGATACAGAACAATGGACACTACGTGCCGCTACAGGAAGAATAGGAATTTAGGGAGTTTGCATTGGACTGTGCCTTCCTGTCTTGTGGTTTGTTAATTCACCTTAAAGTCGCATTTATGGAGTTGAAATGTTTCGACTGAATTGGTTGAGAGTGCGATTGATCGCGTCGGATTTTAATGGTTCTTCGAACGGCGAGGATTTTTGTCGCCGGCAATTGTTCCGCGACGCAAGTTAAACAAAGTCTTTGAAAATCAGAATAAAAGTAAATTAGTAAGAGAAATAGCTTACCTCTCTGCCTATCGTAAGCGTTTATACATTCGCTGGTCATGAATTGACTAATTAGGGCGGTTTTTCCAACACCCCTTGCGCCCAGCATCGCCACAGTGTAGGAGGTAATCTCTTTGGCAGGCGCTGCATTTTTCTCTTCAGATTCTGAATTGGCAGGCGCTAAGGAATTCGATCTTGACCTTCTTCTTCTGAAGGAGTCGCCTCTGTTAACGACACCTGTAACATGACAACAGAAACCCGGAACTTAAACACTGTTTCATTATTCAGTCTTTCTCTTTAAACTATGAAATATAATGCTGTATAGAAATTAGGGTAAGTCTAGAAGAGATGATCCACTACCTTTAAAAAAAACTATTACATCACAAATATCATTGATACCTAACAAAAAGAAATATACTTATGAAAGCCAATACGTATAAGAAGAATAGTTAAATAGGCCTTTATGCATAGGAAAATATACTCATTTGACAATTTAAATGAGATCGAGCCATCTCACCCGCGGATCTATCACTCTTAACTTATTTTAATTACCTTAATTGGTTTGTGTTTTAGTGAAAAATGACTGTAAACTATACAAGGTGAAGCAATTTACTTTGACCTTTATTTTTATCGGTTGGTAAGTACCCTAATAATGTACATGTTACAATTTTATGTATTCGTTTAAATCTTTAAAGAATAAAAGTTGTACCTTTCTTCCAATTTTACCACATATGCAAGGGATATAATAATAAATATATAATGTTTGTATATTAGTTTGCTCCTTAACTTTCATTCAGAAGCATATTATAATTGGAAATATAAAAGTATTAAGTACATTAATTTGCATTGGCAATATTGTATTTTACCAGGTTATAAGGTAAAATCCAATTTTCACGTGTTCAGTCAATATCGAGCGTGCAAGCTAACCTGCAATTTGAGGGTAATTACCTACATGTTTGCGGTTGTAATCTATTAACACGTGAAAGAAGATGATAGAATTACTCGGATATGATTCCATTCACGCTAATTAACGTGGAAAGTAGGAAAATTACTTGCTTCTTAAAACCAATTCCATTTTGCGCTAGTCCATATAAACGGTTCTTTTATCATTTATGTAATTGACTTTCTCAATATTCAATCATTTTTTCTTTTAAGTAAAACACAGAGTCCTTGCATGTTTTTAACATCTCTAAGAAAACTAGTTTATAATTCTTAATTTTAATTTAAAGAAAATTTAATTTTAATTTCATATGTATTAAATAAAGACGAAGAATTCTACATGTAAGGACATACGTACTTAGGTAGGTAGGCATATAAGCAAATAGTCTAATTTTAAGATGCATTTAAATTTTACACGATACTTTTGACATCTGATTTTGAATAGTATTCCATCCGTAGTAAATTATGCGCGTATTTTGTCGTTGTTCAATATACGAAAGAAAGAAAAGTATTGGCGGTTCGAAGAAACAAAGCGAAGCTTGTCGTTTACGTTACGGATTTAAATCTGAGTTAGCTATGCATGAGGTCCCGGGTTCGCCAAGCGAAACGTATACTTTATTCGTTTCTTTGTTCATTCGATTGTAAATAAATAAACTAGTTGAAATGCATGGTTGCAGACATAGATTTTAGGTCAAGGTCCTTCATGCGTGTTGGGACATGTAAAAAACATGTTTTGAAAACTTAAACTCGATTTAACTCATTTAAAGACCCAAAATACGTATACTGTGAATACTTACGCAGATTCATATTTTTTCATTTATTAACAGATTCAATAGGTTAAAACTAGAGTAAAGGATATATTAAAGGATATATTAACTGTTCACTGCGATCTTGGAAACCAATCGATTCGAATTTTTTATATGATTGATCCATTAATGTCTACCTTAAAAGAAATTAGTTGTTGATAGTTAGGATTGATTTTGAATAAAATTAATATTCATGTGTTAATTATTAAGATCAATCATTAATTAATAATGGTTGGTTAAAAATATTGATTATTAACCCTTTGAACTATAATTATTTTTCTAGTTTGTTCTGTGCTAGCACTAATTTAATTTTTCTGGCTTTGGTGTTTCATTTTAAGTATGAAGTTTAAAAGTTTAGGTTTTTGTTAAGAAAAGTACGGTAGAATAAATAAATGGTAGAATAAGAAACGACTAAAAACAAGAATTATATACATTTGTGACGTTGTTATAGAAATTAACATGCTGATTGTGCATATTACTTCGTACACGTTCCCTACACTTAATCCAATATATCTTAAATTGTTTCAAAGCGTTGTTTGCCACCAGCACGTGCTAGAATTGAAGCAAACGCAACGAATTTGTAGTTAGTCTAAAATACGTTATTTGGAATTTCACATTTAAAATGGCAAGCTACGCTTGGAAATTCAAATGTCTTCATTATTATTAGTCTCTAAGGTGTATAAATTCAGTATTTAACGTACTTTAGATTATTATATTGCATTTTGTTCATTTATCGTACCCACTTTGAAATCCTTCGAAATGGGGCTATTCGAATCAAATCGTGCGGGGTAAATCGGGTTTCCTCGGTATCTCATTTTTTCATGTCTATGGTTATAAATATCATGATTATTTACCTATACGCGTACAAAAAGACACAAATTAGGGATTCACGGAGCCCAGGAACAATAAAAGACACAATAATAACAGTTCACTCCAATGAACTGACCCTGAGATTTTGGGCGAATCGGATATTTCTCACTTTTCAGTCTTTTGCTTATAATACGAAGGTTTTTAAGTTTTCTAATAATTTTTTTCACTGATATTGAAGCTGAACGTCCATTAATAAGAAATCTATGAAAAAAATGTTGATTCTAAGTTTTAACTATTAATTTTTGCTGTTAAATCTGAACTGATTCGATTCGCCTCGGTCTACTCTACTTTTTAAAATATTCTTTTACATACAAAAATAGCTTCATGTCACAAGTTTCATAGAAGTATATTGTTGTTCGCGGTTATTACATGTAATTTATTAACTAACCGATCTTCTTGATCTGATGTTGTAGGTCTTCCCCGCCGTTTCGTACCTTATCGAAAATTCCCCACGAGTGACTCTACTATAATAGTTTGCGAATGAAATGTGTATGTTTCATAGGTTTCATGTTATACCTATCGCGGTGTTTTATGCAAAATAAATTAATTAATGGAGCAGAATTCTAGGCGCTGAAAGAATAATTTCCTTCAGCATTTTATAGATTTCCGCATAAAATACTGATCTAAGATCTAAAAAACTATTTGAGATTTCTGCACTTCTTTCTTAATTTCTCCGCGTCTAATTCTTGTAATAGTTTTCATTGTTGGTGTTCCAATCTCTACTTAGCTCGTGATGACACCGCCTATCCGTAAGATAATACTTTTTAATAGGTTTGTCATGCCAGGGGTAACTTAAGAGTTCTAGGGAGAAATAGTTTTGTCACGGTACAGGCGGCTTCATAGAGTGCAAAGGGTTAATTAATGATAGTTAACTTTTAATCGAAATTTAATATAAATTTTATTTCATGTGTAAAGTAAATGCTCAGGTATATATGTATTATCTATAATCTATTTAAAATATTTCTCCTCTTTTCTAATTTCTTTGTTGTTTGCATTTACAAACAGAATCATCATCATTAAAATAATCATTAAAATGTAGAGAAAAAGATCAATAAGTTTTTGCATGTTTATAACATTAATCCAAAATGTGTCACTAAAAGTGTAATTACGAACGCTGTTTTGCATTCATAAAGTTTGTGTAATTCGGAATAAAAATATTTTACGAAGGCAGTCGTCATTAATTCTTTTGAATCTTTTCCACATACAAAACGTAAAATCAATACAGACTTTTAATGATATTATCATTCTTAAATTGCTTTTGCGAAATGGTAAAAAATTTGAAGTTTGTCTCTGACATGAAAAATGAAACGAATTTTTTCCAGGTACAACCTAGTTTAATGAGAGCTCACATATGTATGTATACACATAGGTATATACATATACGTATATATATCCGTCACTTAATTATCGTTAATTCCAATTATGAGAGGAAAGGCGTGTCTCTGACGGAATGATAAAATCAAGAACTCAATACTCGACAAACTGGAGGGAAATTCTCGAGTAGGCACACATTTCTCGGTGACTAGATCCATTTAACAAATTGCCAGAGGATTTCGAACAGTACCTGTTGAAAATGACAGTGTAACGACAAAGGAATAGCTTCGTGCTCTAGCAATTTAATGAAGGTTTCCGTCGCAAAAGAGCATTAGTCGAGAAGTTACCGGAATTTGTGCGACATCCTACGAAACGCTGGTTTCGCGCAATTAGAATTTTCACCTGGGTACGATCGATTGATACTCGAAGCAGGAATACGCGCAGTGGTTAATAATATTGGACCGCCATCTAACGACAGCTGCAACATTAACAGGCGTCTGAGATTCAGGAGAAGTTTCACAAGATGAAAAATATTATTCTAATATTAAAATATTAGAAAGTTTAGATGTTACAACTAAATTCGATACTGATACTTTACCTAAGAAATCTTCGTTTTTATATTTAACACGTTGGGTACCATGTTATTCATATATGAATGATGTTGTTTGTTGTTCCAATTTCTGCAGTTTTGATAAAAATTATTATAAAGTTATTACATCCATCCCTCCATTTACGAGGAGTATCTGTTCCAAATGGATTCGTTTTACGCGAATGAATATCACGCAAAATAGAGTTTGTCGGTATAAAATGACACAAAGTGTTGGATAGAAAATCTGCTATATGTTTTAAAAATACATGTTTATTTCACATAATTGTAAACTGATATCGCGTATAAATAGTACCGCGTAAACAGAATACTGTTATGTCTGTTAATAAATTTCAAGATTTTATTTTTCGTTCTTTCGTGCCAACATTAAACCTAAAATTAAGTGCATGCAAATATTAGATATATATATGTAGCCCATTAAACTTATATCGAAATATTTTACACAAAGCTCAAACTATCGAATAACTATTTTCCGATACATTTCTAACTTTAGATTGAATAATTTGCAGAACGATTTACGGAAATATTAATATACAATGCCTCTGTGTATTGCATTTGTATGCTTTTGCTTTTTGCTATATACATATGTACTCTTAAAACCACACATAATATTCATAAAGAAACTGTTAGAATGGAAATCTAATTACTTTGTATGTTCCATGAAACTATTTAATGAGATTCCTGAAATCTACTTTGTTATT